CCCCCCCCCTCCGAGCCAAACAAGTTGGAAGTTGCGTCGCATCCCAGGCTGCAGCAGTAGAGGGGTTTTTTAATAAGCAGGAACCTGCTGGCCTCCCACGTCCCGGCGTGCACGCCGTGGGACGTTCACGTGAGCCAAACAAGTTGTAAAAGCCGCGACGCATCAATTGGCTGCGGCCCTGCTGCGTTCACGTGCTCCAGTCATGACGCGTTTAATGGATATTGGCACGTCCAACGAAACAGCCCCTCCACACACACACACACACTGACACCACCACCATCCTCTGTCTCCCAAAAAACAACAAAACAATAAAACCCTTGGGGTTTACTCCATCTTTACCCACCCACCTCGCTTTTTTATTTTTATTTTTCCTCCTAGGCGTCTATATTTACCTTGGGCTGGTTTTTTGACCGTCTTGTCTCCAGGTGTCCCAGTCAACCGGCTATTTCGAGCTGCAGCTGATCTCGGTGGAGAATGTAAACGGCGAGCGGGCGGACGGGGAGTGCTGCGACGGCCCCCGGAGCCCCCAGGACCTGCGCTGCACCCGGGACGAGTGCGACACCTACCTCCGGGTGTGCCTGAAGGAGTACCAGATGGAGGTCACCACCGGCGGGCCCTGCACCTTCGGACCCGGGGCCACGCCGGTCCTCGGTGGGAATACCTTTTCTTTTAAGGGCGCCGGCAATAACGCCAACAAGATCGACGAGTCCGGCAAGATTGTGATCCCCTTCCAGTTTGCGTGGCCGGTGAGTGTTTATTTCCCCCCCCACACCTTTCTGCATCCTCTCACACACAGCTCTCTGATGGAGACTTTGTAAAGTAATGAAGATTGGAGTTTTTTTCTCCACTATTTTGCATTCTGAGCTGCAGATCAAGTTGAATTTGTAGCAACCAGCCTGCTTTTGGCCTTAATTCACCTGCCTTTAGAGCCGTAGACAAACTGACAGTCCAAAGCTAGCCCGGATATTAGTAAAAGTCCTGGTATGTTCTTTCATGTGACAATCGGGAGCCAGAACTTCCCCCGATAGCAGAAATAATCGATTGATTATCAAACGGGTTGCGGATGAGCTTTTCTTTTCTTTCTAGCATCCATGTATGTTTCACCCTGAGTAGCTGCTGCCTTTTTTGAGCAGGCAGGTTCACCTCAGAGGGCCTCGAGCCGGAACACAAGCAGAAAACATGTCGTTTTAGCTCCTGTTTGAATCTAAACGGCTGCTTGCCTCATTCGTACCTGGAGGCCTTAGCGGTTTGGTGCCCGGGGCTCTTTAACGTGCCGGTAGAGGTCTGTGCATGAGTGTGTAAGGGGGGGGGGGGGGGGGGGCCGGGGGGGGGCGTGCTCAACAGCATCCTGTCCTTCTGCGAATCGGAGCCAAGTGATTACACGCCTCTGGGGGGGTCGGGTTGCGGCGGCGGCGTTGGGCGGCCTCACCGGGGTCATCTTTTAAACATCGCCCTGATGTACGGGGGTTGGCTTTAGTCCAGCGCGCCGGCTTGCACCTGTCCGGGCCGCGATGGGGTGATTAGAGGAGAGGAGGAGAACGGGGGGGGGGGGAGAGGGGGGGCATGCTTTGATATGTAGATGCTGTAGAGCGAACTTCGTCCACTCGGAACGCTCGTTGAAGGGTCCGGGTCGGCCGGAGCTCCAGCTGTGGGCTCACAGATGCCGGGACACAATCGGCTCCTCACCGGAAGGCTTTTGGGAGGGGGGGGGGGTTAGTGGACTGAAGTGTTGGGGTGGAGTGACGGCTGCCCGGCCAGGTTTGTGCGCTATCGGCCCCCCATCGGCCTCCTCTCCCCCCCATCGGCCTCCTCTCCTGCTGGGGGCGCCTGCTGACCCCTTCAGGGCAATTAAGCTTGTATGATGGCAGATGAGTGATGGCTGATGAAGTATGGGGGGGGGGGCGGGGGGGACCTTAAGAGCTCAACACCCTTTTGCTGTTTGATGGGACCCACTTCCCGGTGCTGAAACATCCGGTTCCGGCACACTTTTTCTCAACCGGCGCTACAAACTACAAACCGGGTGACCGGCTTTGTGGTCATCCGGTACGCCCCGTCAAAGTGGATTTCTGTGATTATTTAGATGCTAATGCGGGGCGGCTGAATGTGCCGCGTCTTTGTGCGTTTAATTACTCGGGGCTTTTTTGCCCACCGTCAGTCCAACAGCAGCTAAAGGTCTCAGAGCTTCGGGGGGGAAACGGGCGAAAGGTGTGAATTGGCACCCTAAAGGCCGTACGCGTTTAAAAAAGAAAAGGATAAAAAAAAGGAGCCGGGATGTTGTTCAGACCGCCAGGTGCCTCGCCGACCTGCCGGGCTCTCGTCCGGCCCCTCGGCGGACACCCCCCCGGGCAGGGCAGAGGTGGGCAGGGCTGCTCTGGCCCCTGTTCCTCCGGTGAAGCACCCCCTCCGTCAGGGATTCATTCTCTGGAAATTTCCCAGTAGTTCTCCTTCCCTGGAGAGCTCCCACTATTCGGAGCGTCATCGGCTGCCTCTCCTTTCAGATTTCTGCGGCCTGTAGCGTTGTCTTTAGTGTTGTGAGCCCGTAATGCCCAGTGGGAAAAGGGGGGGGCAGCCCCTGGAAGGACAGTGTCGTCTTTAAAGGCAGGCAGGCATTTTGCCCCAGAGGCCAGCGCTGGGCAGCAGGAAGTTGTTGCTGTTGCTGGTTTTCCCAGTAAAACTGCTCTTTTTCACATATTTAGGAATGAATTCAAACTTGCAGTTAATTTCAGGACCGATGAGCAATTTAGGAAGAAGAGATCTTGGACTTGGAATCTCGTTAGTTTTTTAAACTGCTTGGTTTTTGTGTTTGCGGTCTGTTTGCTGCTGAAGGGCTCTAAAGGTGTTAAATCCGGCAGGAGAACGTGGATGGGAGGCACGACGGCGTGCTCAAAGTGTGAATTGCGTGAGATTCACACTCTGTGTGAGGCGTCAGAGGCCTGAATTAACCTGCAAAAACATCCTGTGATGAAGACCGAACTTTGTGTTCAGCCTTCGTTAGAAAGAAAACAGAAACCTGGGACCAAATCTCTTAAAATATTGCAATCTTAAAATTCTATATCAATAGACTTAAGTAAAGGCAAAAGCTAGTCTAGAAATGGATCTTTTCCATTTTGGCAAATTAATGTAATAAAAAAACACCCTTTTATTCATTCACGTTTGAGATATTATTTGTGTTGGATTTTATTTCCTGTTCGCTAGTGGCCAAAATGTAAGATTGCAGCCTATACTTTATTTAACTAATCACTTCCTGTTTTGCTCTAGTCGTACATGTGCACGGGATCATGCCTTTACACATGACACACACACACACTCCCACACACTCATATTTACCAGTAATGGAGGGCAGCTTCTTCCTTTAAGCGCGTCGGTGTGGTTCTGTCGGTTTCGTTCTTCATATTTAAGGATCGGAGTTCAACTTTAAGCGATCAGGGAGCAGCCGGGCAGATCTGGTCGGGCTCCGCGGAGCAGCTGGAAAACGGGTGACCCGGCTCAGCGGGCAGTTGACGGGGAAGTCCACCTCACAGTGGTCTGAGTTTCCTTTTTGCCGGCCGCTGGGCGCTCCAGGAGAGCCAGTGGAGCAGAAGGCCACGTCCTGCCTCCGTCCGATTACTTGGAGGCCTGCGGAGATCTGCCGTGCCGTTTTTTAATTGACATAAGCGGCAAGTCTGGGCAAACGCCATTCCTGCCCGGTCTCCTCGTCTTGTTTCAGTGATTATGAAGGAACGGGCGCACACGTTTGAGCTTTGGCCGCCTCAAACGGCCGATTGTGCTTCTGCAGTCTGCGCCTGTGAGCACAGAGTCTGTCATGCTGGGTCCAGACCTCGCCCCGAGGTTCCTCTAAGTATTAGATTGGATTTGGAAAGCTACATCAATGTCTGGATGTAGACCCTTATTTAGAGGCCACCAAGATCTCTTAACTGGACTCAAATGATCCCGATATTCCAATAGGAGGTGGAATCCTTAAGCAGTTTTTCTTCCGTGGAGTTAGAAATGCGAACATTTAAGGATGCGTGTACCGGTCGTTTAGCTTCATAGATAGGTTTTCTTTTTGAAGCATCCAGAGTATCAAAAGGGTTTATTCCCCTCCCTTCTCTTTGCCCTCAGCATCTGTTTTGTGGGGGCAAGGTATTCCTTTTTTTTGTTTCAGGGCTAAAGGATAAGTGGTCATCTTGACCTCGAGCTGGAGTTTTTTTGATGAAATGTGGATGACTGTATTTTTTTTGGTCACGTCTCCACTTGTTTTTCATGTTTTAAGCCGGCAGACCTTGCTCTGGAGACACTGCGGAGAACATCATTTCAAACGAAGACCAAATCCCAGGCTGGCGGTTGGGTGCAGTCTGGAGCTTTGACATGAGGAAGGAGCGGGGCTGCGCTTTAATTAGCGGCTCATTAGAGCGCCTCGGCTCTCCTCCCCGAGAATCCGCCTAGCTTTTTTATTTTTTCTCTCTCTTTGGGATGCGCAGGGCCAGAGCCGGCTGCCATGGTTAAGCCACACCTGATGCGGAGCGTGTCAGAGCTGTTGCTAGGAGACGGCCGCGCAGGCTTCTAGTAAACAATTATCCTCCCTCTCCGTGGCTCCCCCCCCCCCCCCCCCCGTCCGTCCTCTTTTTTTGGTCCCGGCGCTGCGGCGTGGAAAACCACTCACACGCGTCTCACCTGTGTTTGCGCTGGGCTCGCTATTGATTATGCAATTAGCCGTCCAGGCCGGACTCCCGGGGCCAAGCGACCGGCTGTTATGAGAGCTGGCTTTTTCTTTTTTTTTTTTTTCCACAAGTGCTGCTCAGGGCGTGTTATTTGCATTTGAAGACTGCAGTCAACAGACTTTGGGGCCGGGTATTTCTGCGGATCTGTGCTCTGTAAACGTTTCCATCTTTGACAGGCGAGCGGTCAGAGTTCAGGGGGTGACCCATCGATTAAAACCACTCCTGTTTTTACCACGATGCCTGAAAACAGTCTGCCGAATCGGGGTTCGTTTAGCCGGGTTTCTCCAGCCTCAAATCTTTCAGGCTGAGGTTGTTTTGATGTTTTCGGGGGCTCCGGGGATCCACTGCCCTGGATGTCCGGGGGGCTGCCCGAAGGCGCGTTTTATTACCCATACCTGCAGCCTCTCCATCTGAGAATGTAGATTAAGAGGAAAAAAGTCTGGGCCTTTTTAAAAAGACGTGCGCTACTTACAGATTTTGAGGCACCTGGTCTGGAAAATGGACCTGTAATGCAGAATAGGTGGGGTTACTTCAGGGTTTGTTTATCTCTTTGTCATCAGGGTTACATAAATGGATTTGAGAGAAAATTTGAGGCGTTGTTTGGGCTTTTTGGGCTTTTTTGCGATTATTATTAATATGACGGCACAGGAAAAGCTAACCTTCAACTTCGATGACTGCTTTTTCCCTTTCTCCTCATTCTATCCTTTGATCCTGCCGATCAACGTCATTACGTATTATTAAATTGTTTAATCTTCGACTGGATGACGACGACGACGTTTTTGAACTTTCGATTGTCGATTTCCGGAACAAAAAAAGAAGGATGAAAGCCGTTCAGACTGAACAAACGGTTTAATACGCGGCTAATGAAGAGCCCAGCTCTCACTTGTGCCCTCGCTCCCGTCCCCTCCCTGCAGACACAGCACATTTTGTGTCCTGTAAGTCTTGTGTGGCACTGTCTGTCATCACAAGTTGAACTGTGCTGCTCATCAACAGAGGCGCTGTGTGCTATTGACTGTGCGATCTGGCCCGCGTCCCGGTGGAAGCCGGTTTGGACTGAGCTGTCGCTACCATCTGACTCCGAGCACATTCTTCACTTTAAACGGATTTGTGCTCGTTTCGGAGGGGGAAAGGGCAGGAATTTCCTCTGAAAACGTCAGAAGTCCTGTCGTTCGTTTTGATATTTCACACAAAGTAGTCAAGTGGGGAATAAAGGCTCCTCCATTATTGTTTTAAGTCTCTTTTCATGGTCACAACCTGAGGAAAGGATTGTTTTGATCCATAATGTTTCAGATATTTGTAGGATGAGGACAAGGAACGACCATTCAGCACCAGCACGACGTTCCAAGCTTCGACCGGCTCTAGTTCTGGCCTTATTCTCACGATTCATGGCTTTCTGTGGCTTTCGGTGTTGGCCGTCCTAGTGACTCTCATCTAAATTTGGGCACACGTCTGCCCGAGCCAAAATGCGGCATAGTCCCGCCTGTGCTGTCCTCCTTACCTAGATACCACCCAAAGCCGTTGGTCCAAACCCTGCCGCCTATCCCGGCAGCTGTTTGGAGATTTAAAATGCCTCCGGTTTAGTCCACACGTTTACCTGGGCCAGGTTGGCACCTCGGAGAGAAAAAGAGCACCCGGGACTGGTTTGAGAATCAAAAAAATGAAGGAATGGGAGCCGTTTGGCAGGAATTTAGCGGCCTCGTGCTCGGTTTAGTTACTCACCAGAGCTGTGTCCATTTTGATGTTCAAATCGGATCCAAATTTCTCTTGCATTCGGCCCTGGATGGGGATATACACGTGGTGCATGGGGATGTAACGTGAACGAGAGCCGGCTTTGCTTGGATTCGTGCTCTGAATTAGTCCTCAAAACCCCGTAACGCCTACTGACGGTTCAAAGACTAGCGGTCTAGCTTTCCTTGTATTTCTAAATCTATTCTTACATATTTATTTTCCTATAGAGCTAAGTTTCTTAAAAAAACAACAACAAAATCTGCCTTTTTTAGTCTGATCTCGCAGGTTTTCTGGCCTTGGCTGGACTCATTAGCTGTGTTTTTGACCGTCAGCGGGGCGTGCTCTTTGTTAATGAAAGGGAGTTGGCTTTAAGGTGGTGGACTCCGGCCCTCAGCAGCGTTACCCAACCCGTGAGCTGCCAAATGGATGCGGAGCGGCGCCCGTTCTCTGGGCGTGTGTGCGCGTTTCCGCCGCCGCCCGTGGGCTCGCATCCCCGGGCCCTTGTTAAGCGGCTGGCGTGCAGGTGCCGCAGGCTCCTTGTGGGGGCGATTAAAGCGTGTCATTACACGGGCAGTTAAATTGTCACCCTACCGTTGGGGCCCCCGTTTGAAATGGTAATGGGGGGGCTGAGCTCCAGTCGGGGCGCCCTGTTGCTCCCGGTCAGGAATTAGCGTGCTAATGTTTCTGAAGCATGCTTGTCTCAGCTCTTGAAGTGCATAAACACCAGAGGAAAAGATGAACAACACATGAGCTTTAACCTGATTGGCTGAAACCTTGAGGCTGCTTCTTGGCGTGCAGGATGGCGAAGCCAAGACATGAAGCACATCGGGTGGTTTTTGTTTTTCATAATCGGCTCCATTTTGGCACTATAATCGTCTGTAATCAGGCTTGTTTTTTTTTAAAGTAATTAGGAACCTGATTCCTGTGTTTGCATGTTTGTGCTCATGTAGGCGCCGTGCAAACCAACGTGCGCGCGCGTCCGTGTTTGTTTTTAGGTCTTGCATACTCTTGGATCATGCTGGTTAATTAGCAGCGAAGAGGGGAGGGGTTTGTTGTATTGGAGGTGCATGGCTAATGACCCTGTTGGCATAGTAGCGGCATGCTCAATGGGCCGTGTGTGTGTCTGCACAGCCGGTGCGCGCCGGTCGGCCAAATGCCTTGCCCTTAGTGTGACATCTCTTGGCTCGGGGTCCTGGCAGCGAGCTGCTGTGCAGAGCCCGCCGCCCTCCGAGAGAGAGCAGGATGACTGACGTGTCTGTATCTGTCTGCGGAATTACGAATGCAGGCTTGGAAATGTGCGCCGGCTTAGTTTGCCCGCCTGTCTCGTA